TAATTTATTTATAACAGACTTAAAATATCCATTATAGTATAAAAACTATTCAAATAATCTCAGACTAAAATATTCTATTTATATATAAAACTATTCAAATAATCTAATTTCTTGTTATTTAATTATATCTACTTCAATAATCAACTAATCTAACATAAAAACTAAAATATCCACTTCCTAGCAAAAATTAAATCTACTACTTCAAGTATTCCAATTTATCTTTCATGTTTCCATTTATAATATTTATTCTAAATGACTAGTATTCTTAAATTTTCAGAATTAAGTAAGTTTATCTATAGAGGTTTTCCAGGGGAATCACATTCAATTAACTATTTATAAGGAATAGACTAAATCAACAAATAATCTTAAATTTGAAATTTATATAAAAAATTAGAAATTGGTCTAAGAGGGTACCAATAAAAAATCGGACTACAATTTCTCGAAGAAAAGTTGATTCTGCCGCTTGGGGCCCACCGGGGATTCGCCGGCCGGCCGCCGGACCGCCGCCGCCGTCGCCGTGTGCCCCGGCCGGTAAATCCCAAATAACCCAGAATTTTGTAACACTTACACCAAAATGCTCGAAACCACTCGTAGAAGCTGAATAATTTGGTGTCGTTTTGAGGAGATAGTGGCTCGTTTGGCCGGATCGACCGCCACAGCCATCTCCACGCTGCCGTTCATGGTGGTTTCAGTTCCCTCCACCAAATCCGTCGATTCTTGGATGGAAAATGTTCACACAAGAGGGAGAAACTGATCAGAACTCACCTTGAGGCCTTCAGCCGCTTGAATCTAGCTAATCGTCGAAAATCAAAAATTAGAAGTTGTCAGAGGTGACAGTCTCATTTCGCGCCATTGGGGACTCTTGCTGCGTGAAAGGAAGCCAGAAACGTGATCGGCGGTTCTTTGGGAACCGATCGCCACTCGCTCTCGTCGTGCGATGGTCGGAAAACGGGAAGGGAAGGAGAGGGAGGAATGGCGCCGCTCGAGACCCAGGAAGAAGAAGAGAAAGGAAAAAAAAAAAAAAGGGAAGGAGACGGAGAATGGCGCTCCGCTCGAGGCACCCAGGAAGAAGAAGAGAGCAAAAAAAAAAAAAAAAAAAAAGAAAAGGCCTGGTTTTCTAGGCGTGATATCCGGGTTCGAATCCGGAAACCGGGTTTGCTTCAACTTCAGTGATTTGCTCACAAGTCTTTTGCTTGTTTAAAGGATTTTTTCAACCTAGATTTCGAAAAATTTCAAACTGATTTAAGGTCTGATATTTAGTTTAGTAATTAAAAAAATATTTTTGCTAAAAATCTCATCGTCTTAAATTTAAAATTAAATTTTTAAATGCAAAATTTTTTTTAAAACAAGAATTTTCCGGGATCGTTTCCACCAGAACTTATTTTTGAAAGGGACGAGAGAGGCTACTTTTTATTTAAAAACACTAAGCAAATAAATAAATTAAATGAGATAGTCTTAAGCATTGCAATTTTTTTCTAACCTCAACTTAGTAATCCACCATGGCCCCCCCTTTTTATTCCTTTTACTTTCCTTATTCACTATTTTTTGGCGGGAAAAAAATATATTTTTTATTTATGTTGTTTTCCTTTGAAAATTGCTTTCATTTCCTTATTCTGTTCTTTCTCACCTTACTACTATGTTTATTTAATTATATTTTTATCTTTTCTTTCCATGTCCTTGCTTTTTGCTTTGCTGCTATTTCAAAAACTCAAGCAATTATTGCCTTTCTAAAGTGGAAAGCTAGTCTTGAAAACAAAAAGTAGTGATGTAAACGAGGTAGCTGCTTATGAAAAAAATTGGCGTTTGAAGATGTCTCGAGCTCCGGTAAAAAGTTCGCTTTGAACTGTTAATAAGATTCATCGAGCTAAGTTCGAAGCTGGGTCAGTTAAGACTCACGAAGCCAGCTTTATCGAGCCGAGCCTGAGTTTATACTTCTGTAAGCTCAAGATCCGAATTAGAAGCTTGTACCATCTAAAACGATGTCATTCTTGATTAATATTATTTTCGAAGGTCTAAGGCTCTCACTCATTTACTAGCCTTATTCAAAGCTAAAGCCCGATTAAGGCTCGAGCTTGGCTATTTTGGTGAAACGAGTTCCTTAGCTCGGTAGCGTGTAGTGATTTCGAGCTTAGATTTCCGAGTTTGAAACGAACTCGAGCCAAGCTCGAGTTCGAGTATATCCTTGTTGAGTTGAGCTCGAGCTCACTAAAGCTCGACTCGGCTCGTTTACAGCCCTATTTAGAGTCAATTTATCTTGTCTTCTTGGTCTCCAACCGATGCTGCTCCTTGTAACTGGAAACTTGACAAAAAGTATCAAGTTTACAAATATATTATAATAGATTGGGAGGTCACCTACCATATGGCATATGCCTTAGTGGATGACTTAAATATTTCGCTGCATATGGAAATGATTTTAGGGGTGGCATCCCAAAAGGCTGATTTAGGTTTCGGTTTGGCATTCCAGTAAAAAGGCCTTCAAATTGCAATTCCTTTGTTAAGACTCCATCTTTGAGAGAATCCAACGCAATATGGAAATATATCTCAAGATTTTTGGGATATATTCCATATTAATTATGAACTATTTAATTTATGCGTAGGAACAAGTTTCTATAGTGTTAGCAAGATTTTGGGATATATCCATATATATATGAACTATTTAATTTATGCCGTAACAAGTTCTATAGTGAGTTTTCATGAAAATGGGAAGGTTTTCATAATTTGTCAACTTTAACAATAATATATTTAGGTTAAATCCTGAACGCTGTTTTTGACAGATCAAAATGCTAAACGCTGTTTTTTTATAGTATTCGACAACATAACATTTGAATTAGCTTTTAGAGATTGAAGTAGCGTTTTATAAAAGTTAACTCATGTGACGTTTAATGTTTTAGCATTTCATAAAAAGCTACTCAAACAACTAACAACTACACAAACAACTAATTTACTATAGACGCACTGAAGCATTTCTTGTGGCTCCATTTGAAGCAGTAAGAAGCAACAAAGGTTTACGCGGTAACAATACCAACTTAAAAACCTGTGGTTCCCTTCGTAATAAAAAAAAAAAAAAAATCAATCTTATTGTTCTCCAATCTTGTCTACCAGTCAATCAAATAATATTTTTCAAAATAAATTAATTTTCAAGCACAAATGGAATCTTCATTAACTTCATTTAAGCAAATAAACTGATAATATTCCAGTAGTTGTGTTTACTTTCTTTTGCAGGTATCTAAGCATCTAGCTTAGTAAATAAGGCGACAATCCATCACCGCATCTTTTGAAAGAAAAAAGGGTTATTTTGCCATCCTGAAGAAAAAAAATTTTATGCCGGGATCAACATTGTTTGCGGAGGACATGATGACCAAGTAAAGGACTCGAGCATTCAATTCAATGAATCGCCCCAATTGGAAACCACAATCAATTTTAATATAGAATTCGACATCAAATTGAGTAAATATGGAAAAAACAAATTTAAAAATTGAATTGAAAAGATTTACTCTTTTACTCACTATAAAGGAATAAGACTAAAGTGAAACTAAATTCACAAGTCAATTTTTTTTTTTTAAAAGAAAATAATTTTAGTGTGAACAAAAAATACAAATCAAATTGATATGAAATCATAGTTGGTTTAGATTAAACCTCTAATTTTTGGTTATTTGGTCTTATTCAATTTATTTAGAATTACTGAGTCAAAAATTGTTAAACAAATATATAAAAATTTACATTTGTTAATTATCAAATCGATATCCGAGTTAAGTCTTTTTTGCATACAATCAAATTCAAATCAAAACTTAAATAGCATCGGCTTTGGTTTTGATTATTCACGCTCTTAAAATCGAAACTTACTTACCCATAGGTCAAAGTGATAAATATCGAACCATATCGATTCAGCTTGAGAGAGCAAAATATTGGTTTAAATTTAGAGGATAACATCTGCAAATTAAAAAAAGGTCCTTGATTTCGTTGAAAAAAAACACTTTCCTAAAACCGGCCCATAAAAATGGTAAGGTAAGTCATTTGAACTCCCAAATTCTCATGTTTGAAACGACACGTGAGAAAAAAAGTGATTATAATTCGGGGAGAATTATTTATAAAGCTGAGATAATGAACGGACGAACCGTTCGTGAATTCGGCCTAAATAGTTTTTTTTTAGGAACAGGAACTCATGTAACACCCAGTAAATGATTAGGAACACTTACAAGCCAGAAACCCAGCTCTATAATACCCTATTTAAATCCTCTGCGTTCCAAGGAACCTTCCTCTGGTCCCTTCCTTCTCTATCAAAACCCCGGCTGTTTGAGTTTATTCTATTTGGCCAAGGCTTTTCCTGGCGATGGTCATCACTGGCCCACCCGTTCAATTCTTATGGTTAAATAATTTACTCTTATCTTTTCCCTGTAATCTTTCCTTTAATGTGTGGTTATAGATGCTTAAATTTGTATGTTTATCAGGGTTGAGTTTTCATTCTCTTACCTTTTGTGGAAGACTGTGATTTTTTTTATATATTCCTTACTGCGCCTCTTTTATGTTAATCTTTGGTTATTGTTTGATTCCTTTTTGTGGATGTTACTTTTATGTTGTTACAGATATTAATGGATGGCATAAAGGGGGGAAAATTTTATTTTCAAGGGAAAAACAAGGAAGAAGATTTTGAGTTCAGCTTCGTATTGGAAGGGGAAAATTTTATTTTCAAGGAAAAACAAAGAAGAGTTTTGAGTCAGCTCGTATGGATTGATGATTTTGATTTTCATGTATGTATGTATGCATGCATGTGGTACTGTTGAGGCCAACTGCATAAAGTGACTGAAGAGAACGCAAATTAGACCGACTATTTTATGACTCTATATTGATTGTTATTTTGTGGTTTTAAATTTTTAACTAGAAGACAGATTCTGAGAATTTATATGTTTTAAATATTTCAATTTTCAAGAAAACAAATTCTTTTGCACAGGGAAATTCTTCCACTTTCACAATTATTAAAAAAGTTTATTTCTTTCATTTAGCCTGAAGTTGTTCTTGTGCAGGTTAAATTGTTGTCCTGAACTTGGAATTTGTATCTTGTTCTCTAAGCGGGTTCTGCTCAATTTTCTTGAGTGTAATACATATTTATAATGGATTTAAAATCTAAAGGTATAGCCTGGGTTGGGAACATTTATCAGAGGTTTGAAACAATGTGCCAGGAAGTCGATAGCATTGTGAACCAGGTATCGATTCTTCTCTTTTCTTTTTTTCTTTTCTTTTTTTTTTTTTTCTTTGTGGTTTCGACTTCTCTTTTATCTCCTGATGAGGATGTACAAAGCATTTTTCCCACTTGTTTTAGGCTTTGGTTTTCTTCTTGAGAAGTATCTGCTCGATGTTTACTTGAATGGAGTAATACACCACACACACACACCACTTACTTACACCACAACAACACACAACCACACACACACACACACACACATACACATACATATACATCAATATCCTTGCATCACAATCACAATTGTAGATTATGTTCTTGGTAACTGCATTACTGCATATATAAGATCCTCAAACTTGATTTTGCAATTCCCCTGTGCTTGAACTGCTTCTTTTACAGAATACTGTTAGATATGTTGAAAACCAGGTGCACACTGTGGGTGAGAGCATGAAAAAGTTTTGCGATGTTGTTCAAGATATTATTCCTCCTATAGTTGATCCTGTAAGATGTGATGCTCAAGCAGTGGCTATAAAAGGAAATGCTGTTGTTGGTACCTATATTAAATCTATGATTGGTATTGAGGAAGATCATGGACGTATGGATCCCATAAAGCAGTCATTTGCAGAGCCCAGTGATTTTGATGTGAGGAATCAGTCCAGTAATACGTTCAGTGGACACCACTTTGGGGACACCCACTTTTTGTTAAACCAATCAACTTACTGCAACCCCCATGGATTTCCCTTGAGGGTGACAGCCCATTTGACTCTGATCCAGGGAAACATCAACGATATTTGTGGACAACTATTTGGGCACACCAGGTCCAGTTGAAAAATTGATGATATTCAACAAATAAATCTTCTGATTTGAAGCACAGTAAGAAAATAAGTTATTGGAGAAGTCCCCAATATTACCTCAGGCTTTGGTACGTTAATTGTCCCAGAAGAGAAAGAAAACTACTCCATGCATTCCAATTACCTGGTTGAATTCATTTGATTCCACTCACGATAAGTGCTTCGTGTTTCTCCTTGAGGAGAAAAAGTCATTACATGTATCGCTATCCAGTGAATTTCATTCATTCTAATGATGAAAATGCATTTTGTTTCTATGGGTGAGGTGGTCACCAACTGCAACTTCAGTTCATGAAAAGAAGGACCATAGGTTCTGCCCAAAAGATGAAAGTCACCTGCAACTTCAGTTCATGAAGAGGACCATAGGTCTGCCCAAAAGATGGAAACAGCTTGTTACAGCCTTGCAGATGATTCTTATTCTGTGTCTGATTCTTTAAGTGTTGTTTCTGTGTCTGAAATGGCTTTTTCAGCTGCCTCCTCCTGTGGTTCAATATTTACAGAACCTTGTACGCTGCATGAGAATTCATTTAATGACGTCCTCGCAGTAGTGTCTTGTAGCAACCGTGTTAGTGTGGCTGGCCATGATTCTCATAGTTCGAATGTACTCTCGTCATCTATTTCTGCTCCAGTTGCATCTAGAGACAGGGAAGTAGCAGAGACTGGGTCCACTTGCTCCAATGATGTCCTGTCATTGGAATCTGCAGGTTGGTTTTCCCAAGTTTATATTCTAGCTTTCCTTCTGTATTTGGTAGAAGAAGAACCTGTAGAATGTTCTTATGAAGTTAATTATCTCATCACGTGTCTTGTACTATCTCACTAGGTAACAAACAGAGTAAGCATTTGGGGATATGGAGACTTGACCAGCATTTGCACATTTAGACATCTTGGTGGATGATATAAATCTTATTAGGAAGATAGTCTTAGCATTGTAAATGACCTTATCAATGGACAAACTGACAAGTATGTAAGATTTATTTATTCATAACTAGGAAGAATCAGTCTTATGTAGTTGTTTGCTTATGTAGGGTGTGCAAGTGAGCCTAGTAATTTCTGTGCATCTTTTAGAAAATGGGCACAACAATTTCCTTTGAAAAATATATCAGATGATATAGTCTAATTGAAGAAAAGGAAAATAGATGCAATGTACACATATTATACCTGGAGCTTCCATGCATGTGTATTTAATGCACGGAAAAAAGACCTTGCAACTCGTACCACCATTTATTTTCATACCTGGAGCTTCCATGCATGTGTATTAATGCACTTGACGAATGTAGTTGTTTGCTTATGTAGGGTGTGCAAGTGAGCCTAGTAATTTCTGTGCATCTTTTAGAAAATGGGCACAACAATTTCCTTTGAAAAATATATCAGATGATATAGTCTAATTGAAGAAAAGGAAAATAGATGCAATGTACACATATTATACCTGGAGCTTCCATGCATGTGTATTTAATGCACTTGACGAGCATAATTTACCTGCTTTTCCATCTGGTCACTTATCTAGGTCATTCTTTTCGAGGTGAAGTGTGTTGATGCTATTTTACTGTACACCTTAGTGCATAGATGGCAGCATAATATAATTGGTTTTATCTTTTATAAAAATTGACATGCATTTGTCTTATTGGAGGTGAAGATAGTTTTGACCTTCACTTCTTGTGATATGTTATGCTGCAATATTTTCTTATTTTTGGCTGGTAAGCGAAATCTTTAAAAAAGAGATAAATAACCCCATCTTCACTTGTTGAAATCATCGTCTTACTAGTGCTAGAACTATTTGCAGGATGCTCCAATTACTCCAGTTATATTTGTGATGATATATTAGACCCTGTAATGGAAACCATTGATTTGTTTGACAAGGCAAAGCTTGAGGAAAGCAGGATCACTGTGACCAACAGTATGCTTTATGAAGTCTCTCGTAGAACACATAAACTCAGATCATACAAGGTCTCTCTCTCTCTGTCTCTCTCTCTCTCTCTTGCTGTGTGTATATGTGTGCTTGTTTTTGTGATGTGTGAGCAGGGGTCTGTTTTCTGTGCAGTTCTATGCTTTTGTTGTAGTGTCAAACATGAAAACATGTGAGCAAAATAAAAGGATAGAAGCCGTGCCATGATCTTGAATTTAAAAGATTTTAGACTTCAAACAAGCATATTTTCTGCTTCATTGCTAGTTGAATATGAGGCAGTTATTTTATAAGTTTGACTTTTGCAAGTCAGACATTGTTTTCACACTTGTTTTAAATCTAGGGCTGGATATGAATATATGAACCTTCTCATGGTTTTTTTGGATGAACGGCTCTGTTACACTATGTTTGGATAGCAACTTAGGGAGGAAAGAAAATATTGAAGGAAAATGAAGAGGGAAAATACGTAAGAAAATCATTTCGTTTTCCATATTGATGTTTGGATATGCATGAGGAAAATAAGGAGCGAAATGATTTTTGAATAGTAAAATTATGAGTTTAACCTTTTTTTTTTTCAAAAAAGTACAAGTAGGGGTAAAATTGCAAGTTAATTATTTTCCTCCAACTTTCCTCTCAAATTGGAGAGAAAATAGTATGTGGGCCCCATAATTTATTTTCCCTTCATATTTTCTTCATTCCCAAACAAGTGAAGAAAAGAAAATTTGTTTATTTTCCTTTTCAATCTTTATTCCTTCCATATTTTCCACCAACCCTAACATAGTGTTATAGTTCTTTGTAAGCTTATTTATTTAATAACAATTGAATCCAAGCTTGCGCATCAAATCAAATAGTTGGCATGTTAGCCTCATCTTATTTAGACTTGCTTGCTTATGGTTTGATTAAAAGATACTAGCATCTGAAGCATTCATGGTTAGAAATCTGAGCTCAAAATGAAATAATTTGTTTATAAATAGCTCAGAAGCTTGGCATGATCAACTTGCACAATGATTAATAAGTCATTTAGAATAATTAATAAGCTTATTTTAGTAGATAAGCCAATCTGGAAATGCACAATGATCGACTTGTTTAATCTTGCTTGGTAAACAAGACAAGCTTAAGCCTGATAATACAAGGTTGTGCAGTACACAACCTGACTTGATCATGTAAAAACATCAGCACTGCTTGCAAACTTGAGGTTTGCTCTCAATCCCAAAATTTGGGAGGCAGATTTAAAAAAGCCTAGCTAGTTTGAAATTTATTAAAAATCATGTCGTGCACTGCTTTAAAATTTTTCTTGAGATTAATTTACTTATCTTTCTTGAAAATAAATTTACTTATCTTTCTTGAATGCAATAATCTTTTTGTTCTTCTTCATAGTCACCAAACTTTGGCAATTCCTGAAAAATCAGGCCAGCGTTGAAATCTTATGCTGCTTTTAAGAGTTTTTGGATTAATTATCTTGATGGTCAAGCCTAGTAATCCCATTTTGGTTTTCTTCTTTTTAGAAAAGAATTCAGGATGCATTTACTTCAAAAAAGAGGTTAAGCAAGGAGTATGAACAGCTAGCAATTTGGTTCGGGGACATTGATTTAGACTCCAGCCAAGATACAGTGCCAGGTCAATTGGAAGCTAGCAAAACTATTACTTTAGATCCTGCTATGCAAATAGATCATACATGCGACTCAGAATGGGAGCTCTTGTAAGTGACTCAAAACATCTAATGTTGATAACAGCCACTGGGCTGGTTGGGTAGCCTATCGTTCCGGTAAGCAACTTCAAGATGATGTCACTTCTGTGAATAATTATTTAGTTGACGGCTTTCACTTCTAAGATAATAATAATAATAATAATGATTTTGAAAATGACAGTTTATCAAAATTCTGATATGATAAGTCACTATAAATCCAATTCCTTTGGGTGCTTGTTCTAGCACTTGGATTTTTTGTACAGCAGTGAATCTGACTATTTTTTGTTTTTCTTCATTTAAGACTGAAAAAGACTTTAGCCAGAAAGGTAAAAAAGAAATTACTGAGTCAAGAAGTAAATTGTTGACTTTCGTCTTTTGTCAGTGTAAATGAATTTGACATATAAAATTTTATGATAGAATTTAGTTTTGTTATCTTGAATTCCACGAAATTTAATTTTCAGGGGTGAAAATGAACTACCAATGTGAAATTTCAAATGAATTCCCTAAAAGTTGTGTGGAATTCATTTTCATACCAGATAGCGAGTTACCTATTTGCTTTTATATGTTGCTCTTAAAGTTACAAAAAGTTTTGATGATTCTGTAACAAATTTGCATATAGTATCTCATTCCAAGTATCAGGAACTCCTGGTAGACACCAATGAATACAATCTGCAAAATTTTTTGGATCAGATCTTTGTTCTTTTGTCAATAGCTTGCCTTTTCGCTCTCCATAAATTGTTGTATGAGCATCTTTTCTATACTCTGATAATTGAGTGATGTTCAGAAATGCCACATTGATTTTCAATTTTTGTAAGGTATCAGTAACTATTTTCATGATCTGGAGATTGGAACCTGTGCCCCAATATGGTCCTCTAATTGGGTATGATTCATTGAAGCAGTTCTCATCACTTCCTGGTCTCCATTCCCAGCTCCTACAATTGAATGTTTGTTATTTACAGCTTTTTCAAATATAATTATAGCGTACTCCAATATATTTTAAAAATATAATAACCTTAATACTCTTAATTATCTTATTTCTTGGAAAAAAACTATTTCTATTTAAATATGATAATTCAACATTCTTAGAATTACTTTTCTGAAAATTTATTTTCCTGAAGAGAATTTCATCCAGAAAAAAAAAGGCCCAAAAGGAAGAAAAGGAAAGGAAAGATCCAAAACAAACAGGAAATTATAAAATCATATAAAAATATATAAAAAGAAAAGAAGAGAGAAAACTAGGAATTGGGTTTTGTAGAAAAATTTTGATTGGAGAAGCAATGATGAACTTACCACAAATGTGTTGGAGACATACTCATGAAGAAGACCCTCTGCTTGAGAGGGTTAACATTAGATTGTAGCCAATTTGCCCAAGTTTCTAATGCCAGTTTATATGCAGTTGTTACATTATATTCTTGAATATCATCAACCGATCCATACCTGAACAAAGAAATAAATAAATAAATAATGACTTCTTTAAAACTATTTATCAAAATAATTAAATTTTCAAATTAATTTCAAAGAGAATGCAAATTTGGGAGGTTCGGCTCAGTTGGTTGGTTTTTGCGGTTTTTATTCAAATCTGATTTAGTTTTAATAAATTTCAATTTTAGTTATAACAGCACTCTAATTTCAAATTATACTAAATTTAATGAATAAAATATTATTTTTATTGATCCAGTTTGACATTTTTTTTCCAAATTAGACTCCTTTCCCACCATCACTATTTATAAATAAATTTATATTTATATGTATTTATATAAAAATTAAAATAAAAAATAATCTATTCATCTTAAAAATATATAGTTTTATTTATTTATATAATATTGATAACAAGTGATGATTCCCTAAAAAATAAAATGACGCTGTAATGAATAAAATATATTTTTATAAGAGATTTAACCTAAGTATTAAAAAATGGCAAAGCAAAAATCTAAATTAATATTTTATGCTTATAACTAATTATAATATTATTTTACTTGGTTTTTATGAATTTAAAATCTTAACCAGTATCAGTTAGGACATTATTAAACGATGAATTTTTATTTAATCTGACTACAAGAGAGAGTATAAATCCAACGAAAATAATATTTTATATATTAAATTGAATATAATTTGAAATTATGGTGCTATTATAACTAAAATTGAAATTCAGGGGTACTAGGAGAATAAAGTTGAATTTATGGTACAATTAAAACTACCCGCAAAGTTTAGATTATTTTTAATGATTTAACCCTTTTTTTAGGGAAAATTTTTAATATTTTTAAAATAAAATCTTTTCTGAAAAAATATTTTCAACTTCAATTTCTAATAGTAAAAATTCCATTTATATAATTAAAAAGAGTGAAATTTTTTTTTTATAAAAAAAAAATAAAAAACTTACGTAGCATTGATAGTAGGGCTGTGCATCCACCAGACATAGCTCTCAAACACCAAAAAATCAACTCCTTCCCAACTCTTGCCGAGTCTAGCTATAGAGTCAAGATTAACCAAACGTTTATGCACCGTATGATTTGTTGCATGATCTGAAATTGACTCCACCATGAACGGAGCCCAATAATACTCTATTGATGCATTGAACTCCTGCAATGTTCAAATTCAAAAAACAAACAAAAAAAAGTTTATTTCTTTGTAATTGACTGCAAGTTTAAAAAAATTGATTGTCAGGTTACCAACCGTGTAGATTTATTATAGGGCAAAGCTGCTATAGACGCTCGATTTTATATAAGAACGAGTTTATCCGCTATTAGATTTTAAAATAACTGCAATTATCTAATGGGAGATAAGTTCATTCTTTATATAAAATTGAACTTATAATTTATTATAATAATTTCAAAAATATGAACCTCTGCTTTGAAAATCTTCATTGGTGGAATTCTGTGAAAGGATTTTTTTCCATCAGGAATTGCAGATTGCACCATACAGACCATAGATTCAAATTGTCCTCTTTGGTTCATTCTTTATATAAAATTGAACTTATAATTTATTATAATAATTTCAAAAATATGAACCTCTGCTTTGAAAATCTTCATTGGTGGAATTCTGTGAAAGGATTTTTTTCCATCAGGAATTGCAGATTGCACCATACAGACCATAGATTCAAATTGTCCTCTTTGCACTGAATCTCCTATGAACATCAGTCTTTTCCCTCTCAAAATGTCCAACAGCTTCAGTGGATCAAACCTATGAGATCATACAAGCATTGTCTTGTCATTTGGCACTTGAATTTTTACTGTAAGAAAACAGAAACAAAAGCAGAAATGACACCGAACAAAGCATAAAAAATTTCAATACCTTGGCAAATTGCATTTCTCAGGCTTCCATCTCCAATTCTGATAAAAAGAATCAGGTCTGCCATTTCTTAGACAAGTAGTCTGTTTAACCAAGTAAGGACAACTCTCTTCTCTATATAAAGGATGGGATACATTATCCCACACCCATTGCCCTACCATTAGTTCCCACAGCCCATTGCCCCCTCTCAACACAACATTGGCAGCCTCTCGTTCCTTAAACCAGTATCTTTAGGCCAATCGAACACTAGCTCCCCTTTTTTATGTTCTGTGCTTCCCAATTTGTTACAGTTCCGGAAAATAATAAGGCGTATGGGTTGCTCTCCTTTAGATTATCTAAGACTAATCTTTGAAATCCGAGAAAACCCTAGGAATAGAAAGCTAATGCCAACAGGGAAGAGGTTACTGAAACCCGGCGATCCAATGTTGGTTGGATCATGTTTTAGCTAATAGGATGTTAAGTATGAGAATGTGTTTTTTAGAAAACTCCATCTTAGACGATGGCTTTGTTGATGTAAGCTTTCCCAGGCTTCCAAAGTCAATTGAGAAACATTAACTCCCCAATTTATGCAACCACCAGTTGTAGGTTGTTTCGTTTTTTTAGTTAACTTGTCATTAAATGGAATTTAAACAAAAACTACAAAAAAACAAAAACAAAAAGGTTGGGAGAGGAAAAAAAAAAAAAAAAAAAAAAAAGGTGGGGAGGGGGCTCACATAATCATTGTTATTAAGTCTGAGAAATGTTTTGAAAGTGGGATGGAAACTGTATTCCGCGCTAACTTTTTAAGCAGCAAAATTAATTAAACGTTATTTTTATAGTCTTCAGGAATATAGCATTTGAACTAAATTTTAAAGTTAAAATGACGATTTATAAAACGTTAACCTTTATAACATTTAGCTTTTAACGTTTTATAAAAAGCTATACCAACTACTTAAACAGTTAAAATGCTACTAACTTTAGCTTTTAGTATTTTATGAAAAATTATACTAACTATTTAAACAGCTAAACGCTACTATTAAAACAGTTAACAACTATTAAAATAGCTAATTTTGCCAAATAATTTATTTTAGTTGGATTTTATTTTAAAATTTATGGATCATTTAGCTTAAAAATCCCTGGAAATTAATATAGAAAAAAAAATTGTGTTAATTAATTTCTCTATTATGATTAAAAAATTATTTATTTTCCATCAACTAGGTTGTTGTGGAAGAGGATCAACCTAGATGCTAATAGTCCAAAGACATTAACTTGTGTGACTAGGCCAAGCATCATTTGCATTATAATTATAAAAGGAGAAAAACTTACCTATACTCAGTATATGAATACTAGGCACAGCATCAATTTTGCATTATATTATAAAAGGAGAAAAACTTACCTATACCTCAGCTATATGTGAGATTTACGCATCATACTATATCAATTACAAATAATGTTTTGATTTAAACAAAAGTAATTATAGCGTACTATACTAAGAAAAAAAAAAAGATAAAAACAGTAATATTCTTTAAACAAAAAAATTTAAGTTCACTTGGTATATCGGAGACCAATCGATGCTAGTGGGGGTAGACAAGAAATTTTGCACTAAAAAGTAGTTTGGTCTTGTGAGGTTAGTCTTCATTAATTCACAGTTTAAGTTTTAATGAATTACGCCTTCCTTATGACCGATTTCGTTTTTGATTTCGATAACCGTGTCTAACAACTCACAAGATTAGGGTGGGAATAGCACCATCAATATACCGCTAAATTGATCCGAGCATTTAAGCTTGTGGGTGATTTAAGCCGAGTTTCACCATATCTCTACTCTTTGATTGTTTGTGGAACATTTACCATTTCACTTGGAAGTGTTGCGACTTACTCATATGGTAAAGGACTCCTTGCCTGTTGGTTCCTACAAATAGTGCCCGCCTGTAGTAATATTTGCCTTATGGGAAAGTAAGAATTTAGGGTTACATTTTTTAAACTAATTTTTGAATGGGTTTTCATTTCGTGTGAGAAGTTAATTATTTATTTTTGAATTTTTTTTTTATTTAATATTAAGTGGAATCACGTGTTAGTATTTTATATATGTAATTATTCTTTTTTTTTTTTTATTTTGAGTGAAAAAAAACAAAGTATTTAGTATTAAGAAAAATTCAAAGAATTTTTAAATGAAGAAAAATCTTTGTTTCATAACCATGGGTTCCAACCATCGAACCCTCTCCTAGGGTTTTTCCTTGCTTATGCGAATGGGAACATTAAATGTTCCTTGCTGAGTCATGAATTTCTGTATTTTTTTTTTTTTGAGAAAAACAAATTATTTATATAGAAATTCAAAGATTTTTAAATGAAGAAAAATCTTTGTTTATAACCATGGGTCCAACCAGAACCCTCTCCTAGGGTTTTCTTGCTTTATGCGTGACTAAATGTCTTGCTGAGTGCATGAATTTCTTAGTGACTAACTAGTTAATCTGGTATATGTTATTATGGGCCTAATACATATATAAATTTTTTACTCATAAGTTTAGTTGATTCTCCTTACAACCCTTGAATTTTTTGGAATTCGATTATGATTTTACACTTTTATATTTCACTAATAAATATGTCTTTCCCTAAAATGAAAATTCAATTAGTTGACTCTGCATTTTTATGGGCATAGTTATTAATGAAATGTAAAAGTGCAAGGTTATTCATTGAATCTCGCAAAGTTCAGAGGCCACAAACAGAATCGGCTAAAAATTTAGGTTCAAATTTATACACTGAGCTGTTGTTTTGTGTAATGGATGTAGTAAGTACACCATCAATGGCCTAATCACCTTTGAACTTTGTTATTTTAATTTTTTGGCATTCTTAACTTTTTTTTTCTGACTCATTAAACAATTGAATTTATAAAATTACACCTATAAAATAGTTAAATTTATAAATCAATTAAATACCTATTAAATAGCTGAAAAATATTTATTATTCTAAACATTATGCTAATTACACATTAAATCAATATTTTGCATAAAGAACTAACAAAACCATAAATATTAGTGTTATTAGTATGGAAATGTTCAGCATGTTATCAAATTTACAAATTCAAATTCATAATAGATTATTCACAAAGTTTAGGATGCCATAGGATGAAAATTGCAATGTTTAAGGGTGAATTTATGTATTCGGGTCAACAATATGAGTAATTAATTAAGTGTATAATGCATAATTTTGATCATGTACTTTCGGTAATTATCCTTGTGGCTTATTGTACTTTTTGAGGAATCCAACATGATAATGCACTTTTATATTTCAATAATAACACAATTTAATATTTCACTAACAACTATATATATCCTTCGGTAAAGTAAAATGTGAAAGTGTATGGTCATAATTGCACCACCGTAAAGTTATTTCATTTTGATAAATGATATATTTATTACTAAAACGTGATAATGCAATGTCATGATTGAATCTCTGTAAAGTTGAGAAAATTAAAAGAAGAATTAGTCAAAATATAATATCAAATTTATAAGCCATTATTAATTAAGAGAAGATTTCCTTTTTCCATCCAAAAATCACAATGATTACTAATAAACATGTAATCATTTTATTTCCCTTCAAAACTAATAACTGTATTTGCCACCTAATTATCCCTCTAAAATTATACTCTAACTGTTCTTTTTATTTAGAGAAATTTTCAATTTAGAATGTTCTTTTAATACAGAGAATTTTCCTTGAAATAAAAACTTTGAAAATGGTGCAATTCAAGAAAGTCTAAAATACCCTCACTTTATCTGATTATGCATTAATTATGCACAATTAGCAAGGAAGGTGGCAGACAAAAAAAAAAAAAAGAAGTTGAGCATTTCTCTTATTATTTTTCATTATAATTGTATATAAATATTGATTTTGAATTTGGAGTTGAAACAAGGAAGGTGGCAGACAAAAAAAAAAAAAAGAAGTTGAGCATTTCTCTTATTATTTTTCATTATAATTGTATATAAATATTGATTTGGAGTTGAAAGTATGAGTTAAAGATAATTTGATTTTCTTTTTAAGCACCTATTAGAATTTTAAGAATCTATTTTTATAAATTAGAGATCGAAGGATTAAGTCTAGAAATTATATTGAATTTTATTTTAAGACTACCTCATTATATAAAAATAGAATTAAGTATATAAAAAGTAATATCACAAGTAGCTTGTCCGGATAAATGCAATACAATTTAACCACTTGTATTTATTTTAATCTAAATAAAAACTTATGCTTCAATATTATATAAATTAAAAAAATTAAAAAAATACAAATATATAACGAACATAGTCAATGTGCAAAAGCACATTATAAAAAAGACCGTCGAATATTAAAGTTACAATCGCATCTAATAGAAAGACATGAAATATAAAATTTTTTAGGCTTTATTATGAAATTATGGTCAAAGTCCAAATGCAGATAAAATTTAGGTGAGGAAGCTTCATGTTGGACGGACAAGTCCCTCATTGGTAGTTCTTTTCTATTTCTACCTCTGCCTTCAAATTTCAAATTTGTCTTCTGCTTTGTACTCGTAACCAAACTCTTCTGAGTCCAGGCCTTGCCCCAGCCTAACACCATGCATGGTTCACCATCTCAAGCTGCTACGGGCACGAGCCTAAGCAAAAAGTTTGGAATGAGGACTGTAATTTTTCTGAAATCCCAAATTAAATTGAAGGTAAAGCCTATAAGCTTATAGAACAACAATAGTTGGGAAAAAATAATCCTGTCACACTTACAGCACAACTTGATTTTCCCTTTGTCATGTTTCAAGATTAATTTGAAACTTGAAGGATATGAATGTTCAATCTCAATTGGATCTCAGAGCAAATGGTTCTCTCACTGTTGAATTCAGTAGAACCTGTAAGCAACCAGAAAAAAAAAATGCCAGACAAATAAGATAGGCTATTGAATGAACTTGCAAATAGTTATGAGAAGCCAAAACTGGAACAAGGAAGTTGATGGATGACATTGTCTTTCATATATAGTGCAGATGAATCTATTAAGCTACTTAACTGAATAATTCCTGGCCCCATAGAAAAGCTTATGAAGTTGTATAGCAACACGCCTAGAAGAATGAGAAAGGAACAAAAAAACTTAGGGAAAAAGGAACAGAATTTAACACCAGAGATGCCAATGAATTGAATACTGTCATTCTCAAATGAGACACTATTCGCATCCCTTCTAGGATATTAAGAGAGAGCACTGAAAGATACATTTTGATCCACCTGCAACATCAAATATTACATACGAACAAGTATTGACATATAAACATCCAAGATTAATAACTTGATGAAATCTAAGACGTAGATTGAAGGGATTGGACATACTGGAACAAAAATCAGATGAATGTTTCCAATAATGGCCATCCAATTGAATCCATCTTCTGTCGATGTTAATGTATGGGATGTGAGGAATCTTGGGCCAGTCAGTACCCATACTGTTGCTGCATCTTTCTGACAGATAAGAACAAATTATTTTCCTGGGAAAAAAAGCAAAAGAAATGTGGAAAATTGTATTAGAATTTGGAGATTTAATTTATTAATGTATGAATAAATAGAAGGGAGAGTTGATAGAAGAAAATACAACTTAGCATAGGATAAATAAATGGTATTTAAAAATCATGAATCTATCTAGGCAGATGAGAAAAGTCAAATTAGTCAGATATTAGAAAATACAACAATAAAGCTCTCTTTACATCTTCCGAGACAGAGAATCCAAAACATTGCCAAATTGTGTTGAAAATTTTCAATTCCAAGGACGTACTTAAAATGTCACGTGAGCATATCTCTATGCAAATCAACGAATCCATCAATGAAGAATGAACTCAGTATGGAAGCACTTGTCTAGAAGACCAAAGTTCTCTACTCTGTTTATATATGGTTTTCTCTAATTATAAGATTGCAATTTGATTCATACTCCAAACAACTGATGAGAAATTAAACAGGAAAAAGAATAAGAAAACAAGAGAATGAGATAGACACCACTTAGTTGTTGCATCAACTTTAAACTGCACAATTCTGAAATACTTCTGCAGAAATTTATTTGATCATCAGTACATAAGAAGAGCTAAAAAGAAAGTAGAAAAAGCAAAACAAAAGCTGCCCCTTAGATGCACCTGTTATTATTCGTTGCAAGATGAACTCATGTAGAGGCCAAAACCAGGAATTAATGGATTCTTCACAAGTTATTGATGGATTTTCCTGTTTTTCTCTTTACTTAGTAATTCAAAGAACCCTAAGGAGGAGATTGAGCAAGAGAAAGTGAATGACAACTTGCTTCATGATAAATCTCAATCCAGAAGTTCAAAAGTGAAGTGTAAACTTTCCTAGGAGACAGAATATAAAAGTCAATAAAATATTGCAACTGAAATTTATGCTATGTTTGGCAAGAGGGAGGAAGTAAAATAAGGGTGTAAGATGACACTATTAACTTTCCTCCCAAAATGGAGTGAGAATTAGGCTAGAAAGGAGTAAAATAAATCTATTTTGCACCTCCTTAACATTTTTTGCCCAAACCAAACAAAGGATTTTGAAAATTTCAAGACATTTTCACCCTCTATTTTACATCCACCTATATTTTACCTCCATCCAAACCCATTAGTGCCAGCTTCACTTTTTGTCCTAAACAAGAATACTAGAAATAGGCTGTTGATAAAATTTACATAGGAATAAGGCAGAGAGAATAAAAGGGAAGAACAACTTGATTAATGACAGTTAGTTGGAAGTGTTGCCATTGCCAGGAGAATAACTATATAAAACTATAAATGCTAATAAGAAACATATGATGTGTGGTATGAACCCTTTCCAGAAAGGCAGAGTAGCAGAAATTGTAAAGTCCAAAGCTTTTTTGGAGTGGTGGGAAGTTGGAGAAAATAATTTAATATAGGGAAAAAGTTAAACTCTCCGAGTTCATAGAACAATAGTTGGGAAAAGTTAACCTTTTCATCCTTACAGCACAACTTGACTTTCCCTTGTCGTGTTTTTGGATTAACTTGAACTTGAAGGATGTCAAACGTTGAATCTCACTTGGATTTCAGAGCAAACGATTCTCTCCCTTTTGAATTCAACAGAAACTGTAAGCAACCAAAAAAATGCCAAACAATTAAGATATGCTATTGAATTAACATGCAAATGATTACGAGAATCCAAGACTTGAAAAAAGGAAGTTGATGGACGACAGTGCCTTTCATCTATTGCTAAATAGAGACTACTGAACTGAATGAATTCTGAACCCACACAAAGTTTACGACGTTGTAAAGCTACGTACCTAGAATAATGAGAAAGGAACAAAAAATTAGGAAAAGCGAGAACAAAAATTAATGCCTGCGCCTGACATAACAATGAAATGAATAGTGTAATTGTCACCTTTGAGACCACTGAATACCCTTTCTGTTTGGGATATTAGGAGAGAGCACTGAAAGATGCATTGGATCAGCCTGAAACATTACATATTGAATATAAACACATATGAATCAAATATTATTAACTTGTTGAAAATCTAACTTGGCTTCTTAAATACATAATATTAAAAGATAGAGAACATACCCATAAAAATCAATTGGGAAAACATTTCATGATAAGAAAAACAACTCAAAGTGATTGATCATTCAGTGCCAAATTCAATTTCTACCCCAAACTTAAACAGTTGGCTATTGATATTTAAACTTACGAAGAATAACGCCTCGAACGAGAAAAAGTGGATCAATAACAAGAATCAGAGGATCTTTGCATGGAACATTCAAAGTTGGACACATCTAGAGCCTCTAGCAGGGAGTACACAGTGCATCAAAAGCCCCGAGATAAGGCTTTAATTTGGGGGCAAAAGCTTGGATGCCATTTTTGCTGCAAGACCAAATCAAATTGAAGTTAAACACCAATTAAGTTTGGATGTTTATTCTGGATGTGTGAGAAGAGTTCACAGAAAGGCTATTGATTTAACTTACAAATGATTTAAGGGAAGTCAAAACTTGAAAGAAGTTGATAGAGGACACAGCCTTCCATTTCAGCTCAGTAGTTTAAGAAGCTGATAGCAACAATCCTAGAAGAAAGCAAATGAAACAACAAAAAAAAAAAAAAAAGAAATTAGAAAAGGCATAAACAGTAACTAACTCTTGCATCAAATTAAACATGACTAAATTCTCACCTTAATTTGACATTATTGAACAATCCATTTAGGATATAAGAGACAGTATTGCAAGAGGTTTAGTGAACCTGAAACATTAAAGATTAAATAAAACACATATTAAAGCCCATGATTACTAACTTGATGAAACTCTGATTGGGGCTTCTTAAATGATAAATGTTAAAAGATGCAGATTGAAGGGACTGGACATACCCGAATAAAAATGTGATAAATTTTTTGAATCAATTTCCCTTATTCGGTGTCAAATTGGTATCTTGGCACCCTTTGAGGAGGCAAAGCTACATACCATAAGCCAAACGGCTTTCAGTTCTACCCTGATTATAGGGTTTGCGACGGCCATCCGAGTGAATCCATCTTCCATCGATCCTAATACCTGGGATGTGAGCAATCTTGGGCCAGTCAGAACCCAAAATTGTACTGCATCTTTCCGACAGATCAGAACATTTGTCCAACACTAGATATTGTAATCTGGTGAGATTTCTCATCCACTTTGGTAAAGACATCAAATTAGGACAACCTTCGATAACGAGTTTGCTTAGAGTAGTAACATGTTGGAGGCCCTTTGGAAGGCATACCAATTTTCCCATATTTTTAAATTGAACCTCTTGGAGGTTTCCTAGGAACTGCCACTGCATACCACTTCCATTCTCATCATCCAAAAAATCTAGCTCTTCACAATCCCATATGAGAAGTTTCTTAAGGGATGTCAAATGCTTTATGGCAGGAGATAGAGTTCTTATGGCTGGGCAATCAGAAATTTCTAACTGTTGAAGGGAACTCAGGTTCTGAAACAACTCCTCTGGCAGAAATTCTGCTTCCTCTATTCTCGTAATGCTCAAAATTTTCAATTGAGAGACAACAGGAGAAGCTGGAAAAGAAGGAGAAGAGGATATACCTTGTACCACTGAAATCTTCATCTTTAGTATCTCCTCTAATGAGCTCATGCTGATATTTCTCAGCAACAATGTCTCAACCGATGGAATCAATGGCATTGAAGTCAGGTTAGGACAGGACCTGATATCCAAATAAGTAAGACAGTGGAAGTGAAGCAACTGAGGCATCCACCATCCCTTGAGACTAGGGCAATTTTCAAGCCAAAGTTTCTCCAAAGAAGGAAAGGATCCTGTGGCACTCTCTATGTACTCCAAATCTGTCAAATTTAAAATTGACAAATATTTAAGAGAAGCAAACTGATCTAACGGTGGGAAGCGCTGGCAGTGGTTGCAGTTATTAATTCGAAGTTCCACCAAATTAGAGAGAGTAGAAACCCAGCTTGGAAACTTCAGCTTTCCACATCCAGACACCATCAACCGTTTTAGATTTTGGTGAGGCTGCAGGTCTTCTAATGATATTTCCTTACCATCATCATTTGGATTGTTATCCGTATCATCATACGGAGCACCCAATTTCCATGCTAAATGCAAGGTTTGAAGATGTTCCTTCTCTCCCAATTTGGCTGACCCAAATTCAGATGTTGTATTTTTCACATATTGCAAATTACAGATTTGTAGATCTTCTCTCAAGTTTAGAGTACGGAGTTCATCAAGCCCACCATTATGCTTTGAGATGCCATTATCCTTTGCCAGTACAAACATTGGCAAATTCTGAAGTGAAGTCAGTTGACCAAGCCCACATGGCATACTAGTCAAACTCACACATTCTGTAATGTAAAGTTGCCTGAGGTTTACCAACTTTTTCATATGGTTCGGCAACTGCTTAAGCTTTTTACACTTCGTTAGATTTAGAGTTAATAGTTTTTGTAGTTTTGTTATGCTATCAGGAAGGACCTCAATGCCATTATTTTGAGAAAGATCAAGATACCTTATGTGTTTCAGTTTGTTAATGGAAGGAGGCACTCTCTCAATTGCCAAATTGCACAAATACAACACTCTTATTCGTCTTAAACTAGAAAACATTACGTCCAACTGTTCTTCTTTGATCTCATTTATCATTGACCTATTGAATAATAGCAAGGTTCGCACCTTGCTTGCATGAGATAAGACACTTTCCAATTGTTCCCATAAGAGAACTTCAGAATCAATGGATAAATGCCGGGTTCTTTCTTTCACATTATGACAATCTGCATATGATTTTAATTGAGTAATCTCCTCTCCAGCCACCACCATAGCCAGATCAGTCATCAAATCATGCATTTTACATTTTATTATATTACCCAATGAATCTTCTTCTACATCTTGAAAGAAAGACCTCAATAAAAGATTTTCAAAGTATTGTAAACCTATATCTTCAAGACTTTGCTTTGGATCTGATGCTTTAATATACCCTTGTGCCACCAAGCGATGCACCAAGAGCCTCACATCAATCCCAATGTCTTTTGGATATAAACTACAATAAGCAAAGCAACATTTTAAATGTGAGGGCAGGTTTTTATAACTCAACGTAAGAGTTGGTAAAATACTAGCATCTTCTTCATCTATATTTGCTAGTTCTTTATCTTTGAAGGATCGCCAATCAGATATCAGCCGATGCAGCCAATGAGCCTCACATCAATCCCAATGTCTTTTTGGAATATAAACTACAATTAAGCAAAGCAAATTTTTAAATGTGGAATTGCAGGTTTTTTTAATAAAACTCACGTAAAGAGGTTGGTAAAATACTAGCATCTTCTTCACTATAATATGCTAGTTTCTTATCTTTTGAAGGATCGCCAATGCAGATATGGTATTTTTTAATATACCAATACCGTCGCTATTGCTCTTATAGCTAAAAAGGAACCCCAGCAACATTTTTGGCTACAATCTCCCTTGCAACTAACTCATGTTTTCTTGGCTTATTCCACTTTCCCTGTTTGAGCCATTTGTTTTTCCACTTTCCCTTGTTTGAAGGCCATTTGTTTGAACAAAGACCAAGATTCCTCCTCACTTAGACCTCGTAATTCATAAGTTAAATTTGATCTAATTCTGTACGCAACAGTTCGAAGACGTGTGGTCACTATTATTCTACTTCCACTTGCACCTCCAAGTAACAAATCCCTCAAGCGAAACCATTTTTCATAGTTCTCATTCCATACGTCATCCAACACTAGCAAATATTTTTTGCCATTTAATTTTTTATGGAGAAGATTTTTCAAGGTATTCATTTCACAATTTTTTTTTACAGGTTTTTGACCAGGAATAGATTCTAAAATCTTTTCAACTATTGCTTTGACATCAAAATTATCAGAAATGCATACCCATAATTTTAGTTCAAAATACACTTCCTCATCGTTAAAGACGAGTTGAGCTAGTGTTGTCTTCCCTAAACCTCCAATGCCCACTATAGAAACAATCAGCACATTTTCCGAGACCAGTGGATCCAGTTTTGTCTCCCCTTCTAACGTATTTCCATCAGAATTGGAAGACAAAAGAAACTGCATAATTTTTTTTTTGTCATCTCCTCTGCCAATGACTATTTCAGGTAAAGAGGAGTGAATCTGGTCTCTTCCATCATGAATGTTCATAAAATCTATACTTTCATGACGATTAGAATCTAAGTGAAACTTCCTATTTTCAGCAATCGCATTTAACTTCCTTCTAATTTTCTTAATCTTAGAAACCATTTCAACACTATAAGGAAATTTGCGTACCTCCTCTGTGGAGAAGTCATCCAATAAATCATCCGCATCGTAAAATGCTTGTTTGAGTGAATCAACCCAAACTCTAACTTGATTACTCTGAGAGTACTGCTGCTCTGCATCAATAAGCACACCTTGGATTGTTAAAACTGTCTCCTCGAGTTTGTTGAACTCTTCTTTAGCACGCCACCACAGCTTAGCCTCTTTAATGGCTGGCAAAACCAGCTTTGAACGCCACCACAGCTTAGCCTCTTTAATGGCTGGCAAAACCAGCTTTGAAGCTACCCTTGTTACAAGGTTGGACAGGAATGCTTCTGCCATTGCTTCTAACAGTAGAGTGGAAAGTAATTGAAAAGGTAGAAGGCACAATTTTGAGAGTGTGAAGGTTGGATATGTAATGGCATTATTTATAACAAAAAAAAAAAAAGAATAATTAATGAAAAGTCACAATTTATTCTTTTTGCATTTGCTGAATGGAGAACCGCGTGGGGTCATATGGAAATTATACTAGCCTTGACTATGAAAGCAAAATATACAGTATTCTTATGATCGCAGTACTGATTTTAAAAAATAACTTAGCCCGAATACCGACTACAACCAATTTAATTATAATGACAATATTACTTATAGCATTAGAAAAATGAACATATTCATATATATGGATCCTTGAAATGCTATAAAGTGATCCAAATTAAAAATATATAGTTTTAATTTTTTTTTCAATTTTTCAGATACTATTTTTCTTCGAGTAAAACAAATTTAAGATATAATAAAAAAATGTCAATAAATAAAAGTTTAATCATCAAAAAATTTCTATTTATTGTAAGGAAAATGCAAATCTCTTTTTAGATAAAAGTAACGGTAGTTACAAATTGATTCAGTAATGAAAAATAAATAAAAATATAAAAAATTATTTTCATATAATAACAATAAATTGCTTTTTTTTAAAAAAAAATAAATTACTTTTTAAAAAAATACCAATTTGAATAGTAAAAATCAGCCCCTTGTTCTTCTAGAAAGACCATGATTGAATGAAATTTGATTTTAAAGGACAAAAAAAAGATTAAAGTCATGTAAAAAAATATAATCAAATTATTCAAAATATTTTAAATTACAATCAAATACTATATATTTTTTAATATTCTTCCTTATCCTTATCTCTCTCGTAATCAAAATATTTAAAAATACAATTAAATATTATAAATATTTTTTTAAGATAAAATTTTTGAAAGTCACTCTATGACCAAAATTATTTTAGAATATTTTAAATTTTAAGAACACTATCGAAAATCTCATTATTTCTCATATTCCTATATATTTTTATATTTATATACAGTTTTAAATCTATAAATAGATAAATTGAACTCGAAAAAATGACGTTGGAATAATTCCTACGGTTGAGAGCACTCAGTGAAATTAAATCCTAAAAATAATACTCTCAAAACTTACTATTATAATTAATAGAATTGTACTTACCTTTTAATAAACAAAAAGAATTATTTAAATTCTCAAAATATTTAATATTTTAAATTTATTAAAGTATATACCACATAAAATTATACAAAAAGTCACGTAAAAGTCGTGTATATTTTTCCTATATATTGAAAAAGGCTTTCTGTTGGTTGGCTAAAGTGAAGTGGCATGTTAGGTGGGCTTTGTGAGGCTTTTGAGCGCGTTTGTTGTGGCCGAATGGTCAAATTCGGGGTGCCTCCTTTCTCACTTTTGTCCTCCGTCCTCGCGTTCTGTTTTGGTTTCTTTTGCTTGACATTAGTGCCTTTTTCTTTTTTCTTTTGCCCTTTTTCCAACAACCCATGTTTGATTTTATCATAAAAAGAATAAAAATCAAAAGATAAACAAAAGAATCCATCAAAATATATAATAGCTTTTCAAAAAGATATTTGTATGAATCTAAATATAATTATAAAATGTGAGTAAAAAAACATCAAATAGTAAACGTAGTAAAAAAAAAAGACATAATAGTTTATAAAGAATAAGACTCATCAACCGCGGCCAAATCTCTCTCCGATTGCCATTAGAATTTTCTTCCCTACTCTTCTTTGAAATACAAAATCAATCATGTAGATATGAAGAGGGGCTGATTCTTGTCTCTTGTGACAGCAATTCATGGTGATAATGAAGAGGGGCTGATTCTTGTCTCTTGTGACAGCCACCTCCTCTATTTTTAGTTTTTATTGCAAATTTTTTAATAATTTTTTTTATTAAATAAATTATAGATCTATGTCTAATTCTGATATAGATTCATATTATTTTATATTTCTGCCTACTGTTTTGTATTTTTATTTGCAGATTTCTGCTACTGTTTGTATTTTATTTGCAGCTCGTGTGGAGTTTATAATCTCTCTATTTTATATGTTGTTTTATTTTATTGTTTGCATTTGTTTGGTTTATTTGGATAGGTTGCAATTTGTGGAGAATTTTTCAATTATATGATGATATTTGTCTTTTGGTGCCTGGTAGTACAGCATGTTCTTCCCTTAAATTTAATAGTTTAAATTATTTGTGTTCGTCATAAGCAATTAATTCATGGATAATTATGCTATGTATAGAAGATTTTGGAGAGTTCATCTAATCAACCAATTTTTAACATCTATCCGTTTTCTTTGAGTTTACATTCTATTTTTTATTAGAATTTTTTATTAGATCAGCGAATAATAAATTTTATAGTTTTTATTAGAGTGATCATGTCCTCTCTATAATATTTGTATTAATTTGAAATTTTTTAATAAAATCTTAATATTATCTTAAAAAAAAAAAAGAATAAGACTGTCGGTGTATGAATACACCAAGCCAATAAAAAAAATTTCTTAAAAAAATATTACCACTGTTTTTTTATCTTGTTTTGGGTAGGACAGATATATTTATGACTTACTTATGAACTATGACCAAAATTGAGGCCTAATCTGAATATGAATATCAGTATATAACTATATATCCTATCAAGGCCTTTAGGCAATTAATTAATGGCCCGTACGACTCTTCTCTTCTCATAAAGCTCTACAACATAAAAAGCTCTACAATCTAAGATCCCTCAAGAAAATGTTGACTCTTTCAACTTACGCAAGAATGAAAGCAGTGGGATTTCCGCGAATTTATGTTTTAATTATTTATATCTATTTAAAATTTTATTATTTATATTTGTTTTAAATTCATTTAAATATACATTTGAATATTTGAATTTAAACCGTTTAAATTGGTACTATTCATATGTCCAAAATTTCTTTAAATTACTCTCGAAGGTCACAAATAACTATTTGAACTCGAACTTATTTAATATACAATTTTTACTAATAATGAATACAATACCCGTGAGTATCCATTGCCAAACCCATTTTAATATAGCGAGTAATATGTAATAAGTGTCTAAAGATTATACTCATATTTTATCTGTATTCACTACAGACGGATAGTATTTTCATAACATGTATCTGTCCCAAATTCGTTTATAACTATTTATATACTTTTTACACGGATTAGAGTGCAGTGGATACCCTAAAATATCCGCACTACTTCTATTCCTACTTACATAAATCAATAATAAAAGATTAATACTAATTAATTAGCTAAATTAGCTAGTTGACTTTTTATTTTTATATGGATCTAATATTTTAATAATATGGGATATTGAATTAATTAATTGAACAAAATATGAACAAAATAGACCAATCGGATAAAATTAGGTCAAACATCACAAAAAAAAAACCTCTCGAAAATGAATTAGAAAAAAAAAACAATTGAACAAATTGAGAGAAATCAAAGTGAAAAACTTTTTCGAGGGTTTGATATTGAATCAATAAGAAGAATGATTGATAAAAACCGATCAAAGAATAAATCAATTGAAGAAACAATTATTTATCCGCTATTAGATTTTAAATTTATCCGCTATTAGATTTTAAAATAACTGCAATTATCTAATGGGAGATAAGTTCATTCTTTATATAAAATTGAACTTATAATTTATTATAATAATTTCAAAAATATGAACCTCTGCTTTGAAAATCTTCATTGGTGGAATTCTGTGAAAGGATTTTTTTCCATCAGGAATTGCAGATTGCACCATACAGACCATAGATTCAAATTGTCCTCTTTGCACTGAATCTCCTATGAACATCAGTCTTTTCCCTCTCAAAATGTCCAACAGCTTCAGTGGATCAAACCTATGAGATCATACAAGCATTGTCTTGTCATTTGGCACTTGAATTTTTACTGTAAGAAAACAGAAACAAAAGCAGAAATGACACCGAACAAAGCATAAAAAATTTCAATACCTTGGCAAATTGCATTTCTCAGGCTTCCATCTCCAATTCTGATAAAAAGAATCAGGTCTGCCATTTCTTAGACAAGTAGTCTGTTTAACCAAGTAAGGACAACTCTCTTCTCTATATAAAGGATGGGATACATTATCCCACACCCATTGCCCACACCCATTGCCCGTCAAACACATTGCAGATTATACTAGAATTGAATTTAAAATCAAATCAAAGTGATAAAACTCACTAAAATTCTAATAAAAACAATATTAAAAATACTATAAAATTAACACCTATCAACAATTTCAAATCAAAATCCTTCGAGCCAATCAGATCGAGCTTCGGAGGTGTTTTCAAGGCCAATCAGACCGAGTTTTGAAGATGATCACAGATCTGACTGGAGCCAACAAAGCCGATCAGACTGAGCTTTGGACGTGACCAGATAATCAAATCAATTCCAAATCCTTCGAGTCAATCAGACCGAGCTTCGGAGGTGTCTTCAAGGCCAATCAGATCGAGCTGCGAAGATAATTACCAAATTGAAGGCGCGTCAGTGGACCACTTTAACATTAATTATTTATACAATTAATGAATTTAAAAAAAAAAAAAAAAAGAAGTGGGGGAGGGGGGCACATATAATCATTGTTATTAAGTCTGAGAAATGTTTTGAAAGTGGGAAGAAAAATGTATTCCGCATTAACTTTTTAAGCAGCAAAACTAATTAAACGTTATTTTTATAGTCTTCAGGAACACAGCATTTGAACTAAATTTTAAAGTTAAGATGACGCTTTATAAAACATTAACTTCTATAACATTTAACTTTTAGCTTTTTATAAAAAGTTATACCAACTACTTAAACAGTTAAAATGCTACTAACATTTAGCTTTTAGTATTTTATGAAAAATTATATTAACTACTTAAACAGCTAAATGCTACTATTAAAACAGTTAACAGCTATTAAAATAGCTAATTTTACTAAATAATTTATTTTAGTTGGATTTTATTTTAAAATTTATGGATCATTTAGCTTAAAAATCCCTGGAAATTAATAAAGAAAAAAATTGTGTTAATTAATTTCTCTATTATGATTAAAAAATTATTTATTTTCCATCAAATAGGTTGTTGTGGAAGAGGATCAACCTAGATGTTAATAGTCCAAAGACATTAACTTGTGTGACTAGGCCAAGCATCATTTGCATTATAATTATGAAAAAGAAAAACTTACCTATACTCAGTATATGAATTCACGTATATATTATATCAATCACAATTAATGTTTTGATTTAAATAAAAGTAATTGTGGCTATACACTAAAAAAAAAAGATAAAACAGTAATATTCTTTAAAAAAAATTTTAATTGACTTGGTATATGAGACCATCGATATAGTGGGGGTAGACAAGAAATTTGCATTAAAAAGCTAGTGGTTGTGAGGTTAGTTTCATTAATTCCAGTTTAAGTTTGTACATGACTTACGCTTCCTTATACGATCGTTTTGATTCGCGTGTCACAACTCACAAGATTAGGGTGGGAATAGCACATCAAATACACTAAATTGAGAGATAAGCTGTTGGTGATTTAAGCGAGTTCACCATATTCTGCTCTTTGATTGGATTGTGACATTTACCATTTTCATTGAAACATGTTGGACTTACTCATTGGTAAAGGACTCCTTGCCTTTGGTCCTACAAACGTGCCCCTTATTAATTGCTTATGGGAAGTAAACTTTAGGGTTAATTTTTTTTTTAAACAAATTTTGATGGGTTTCATTTTTCGTGTGAGAGTAATTATTTTTTGATTTTTTTTATTTAATATTAAGTGGAATCACGTGTTAGTTTTTATATATGTATTATTCTTTTTTTTTTTTTGAGAAAAACAAATTATTTATATAGAAATTCAAAGATTTTTAAATGAAGAAAAATTATATATGTATTATTCTTTTTTTTTTTTTGAGAAAAACAAATTATTTATATAGAAATTCAAAGATTTTTAAATGAAGAAAAATTTTTGTTTATAACCATTGGTCCAACCAGAACCCTCTCCTAGGGTTTTCTTGCTTTATGCGTGACTAAATGTCTTGCTGAGTGCGTGAATTTCTTAGTGACTAACTAGTTAATGTGGTATATGTTATTATGGGCCTAATACATATATAAATTTTTTACTCAGAAGTTTAGCTGATTCTCCTTACAACCCTTGAATTTTTTGGAATTCGATTATGGTTTTATACTTTTATATTTCAGTAATAAATGTCTCTCTCTAAAATGAAAATTCAATTAGTTAATTCTGCACTTTTATATTTCATTTTAGCAAGGAACGTAGTTACTAATGAAATGTAAAAGTACAAGGTTATTGATTGAATCTCGCAAAGTTCAGAAGCCACGAACAGGATCAGCTAAAAATTTAGGATCAAATTTATACATTGATCCGTTGTTTTGTGTAATGCATGCACTACATACACCATCAGTGGCCTAATCACTCTTGTTTGAACTTTGTTATTTTAATCTTGTGACACCCTTAATTTTTTTTGATTCATTAAACAATTCAATATATAAAATTACACCTATTAAATAGTTAAATTTATAAAATCATTTTATTGAGTACTTCAATTTGTATAATTAGATCAATTAAATACATATTAAATAGTTGAAAAATATTTATTGTTCTAAAAGTTATGCTAATTACACATCAAATCAATATTTTGCATAAAGAACTAAAAAACCATAAATATTAGTGTTATTAGTATGGAATGTTATCAAAATTTACAAATTCAAGTTCATGATAGAGTATTCACAAAGTTTAGGATGTCGTAAGATGAAAATTGCGAAGTTTAAGGGTAAAGTTATGTATGCAGGTCAACAATATGAGTAATTAATTAAGAGTCTAATGCATAATTTTGATCATGTACTTTCGGTAATTATACTGCACTGTCATATTTCAATAATAACACACTTTTATATTTCATTAATAACTATATATGCCCTTCGATAAAATAAAATGCGAAAGTGCATGGTCATGATTGCACCATCGCAAAGTTATTTCATTTTGATAAATGATATATTTATTACTAAAACGTGAAAAAGCAGTGTCATGATTGAACCTCTGCAAAATTTAGAGAATTAAAAGAAGAATCGGTCAAAATATAAGATCAAATTTATAAGCGATTATTAATTAAGAGACAATTTCCTTTTTCCATCCAAAAATCATAATGATCAATAATAAACATTTAATGATTTTATTTCCCTTCAAAACTAATAATTATATTTGCCACCTAATTATCCCTCTAAAATTATATTCCCATTGTTCTCTTTATTTGGAGAAAATTTCAATTTAGAGTGTTCTTTTAATAAAAGAAATTTTACTTGAAATAAAAACTTTGAAAATGATGCAATTGAAGAAAGTATAAAATAACCTCACTTGATCTGAGTCTGCATTAATTTTGCACAACTAATTGTGCACAAGTATAAAATACCATCATCATTTGGATTGTTATCGTATTATCATACGGAGCACCCAATTTCCATGCTAAATGCAAGGTTTGAAGATATTCCTTCTCTCCCAATTTGGCTGACTCAAATTCAGATGTTGTATTTTTCACATATTGCAAATTACAGATTTGTAGATCTTCTCTCAAGTTTAGAGTACGGAGTTCATCAAGCCCACCGCTATGCTTTGAGATGCCATTATCCTTTGCCAGTACAAACATTGGCAAATTCTGAAGTGAAGTCGGTTGACCAAGCCCACATGTCATACTAGTCAAACTCACACATTCTGTAATGGAGAGTTTCCTGAGGTTTACCAACTTTTTCATATGGTTTGGCAACTGCTTAAGCCTTTTACACTTCGTTAGATTTAGAGTTAATAGTTTTTGTAGTTTTGTTATGCTATCAGGAAGGACCTCAATGCCATTATTTTGAGAAAGATCAAGATACCTTATGTGTTTCAGTTTGTTAATGGAAGGAGGCACTCTCTCAATTGCCAAATTGCACAAATACAACACTCTTATTCGTCTTAAACTAGAAAACATTACGTCCAACTGTTCTTCTTTGATCTCATTTATCATTGACCTATTGAATAATAGCAAGGTTCGCACCTTGCTTGCATGAGGTAAGACACTTTTCAGTCGTTCCCATAAGAGAACTTCAGAATCAATGGATAAATGCCGGGTTCTTTCTTTCACATTATGACAATCTGCATATGATTTTAATTGAGTAATCTCCTCTCCAGCTACCACCATAGCCAGATCAGTCATCAAATCTTGCATTTTACATTTTATTATATTACCCAAAGAATCTTCTTCTACATCTTGAAAGAAAGACCTCAATAAAAGATTTTCAAAGTATTGTAAACCTATATCTTCAAGACTTTGCTTTGGATCTGATGCTTTAATATACCCTTGTGCCACCAAGCGATGCACCAAGAGCCTCGCATCAATCCCAATGTCTTTTGGATATAAACTACAATAAACAAAGCAACATTTTAAATGCGAGGGCAGGTTTTTATAACTCAACGTAAGAGTTGGTAAAATACTAGCATCTTCTTCATCTATATTTGCTAGTTCTTTATCTTTGAAGGATCGCCAATCAGATATTGTATTTTTAATATACTGTTGGGAAAATCGCTATTTTTCCGCCCTTCGGACCGGCTTCAAGCAGGAATAAATGAGAAAATAAAATAATAACTGAGAAATTAAAGAGAACACATATACTGTTGGGAAAATCGCCTATTTTTCCGCCTTCGGACCGGCTTCAAGCAGGAATAAATGAGAAAGATATAAAAATAATAACTGAGAAATTTAAAGAGAACACGATAATTAACGTGAAAAACCACGACCGTTGTCAAACGACAATCAAGGGAAAAATATTCACTATGCAGGCAAATTGTTACAACCACCAATTACAAAAATATTTTTCTACCGACACCCTCAAAACCAACCCAAATATTTTATACTCCAAGGGATTCCAAAAGACTCCCTGATAAAAACACGATTCAAGTGTTTTTGGTGTGTTATGGAAAGCTTAAACCATTAGCTTCCTATTTTTATAACCAACAACCAACCTACACTCAAATCTAATCTTCCCCGAGTGTGGAATTGAGTAAAAGTTAATTTAAATTATTTTTTTTTTCTTTTATTCCAACGTTTTCACACCAAGGAGAGCTAACACATTCATCCACCTTGCAAAAATAAACATAAAAAAA